GTGTGTGTGTGTGTGTGTGTGTGTGTGTGTGTGTGTGTCTGTGTGTGTGTGTGTGTGGTGTGTGTGTGTGTGTGTGTGTGTGTGTGTGTGTGTGTGTGTGTGTGTGTGTGTGTGTGTGTGTGTGTGCATTTATATATACACACACACACACACACACAACACACACACACACACACACACACACACACACACACACACACACACACACACACACACACACACACACACACACACACACACACATATATATATATATATATATATATATATATTATATATATATATATATATATGTATGTATGTATGTATGTATATATATGTATATATACTACATATATACATATTTAATATATATATATATATATATATATATATATATATATATATAATTTCATTTACTTCATATGATATATTATACATATTAATGAATATATGTGCATAGATGCATATGTATATATTTACTGTATTTGTGAGTCAATAAGCAAAATTATACAAAGAATCATTTAAGTGTAATTAAATTGTACAATAAATAATTTGTGTTGAGTACCCAGTAACTGCATCACAACAGATACATCTTCTATCGTAAACATTCGCCGAGATATCTGTTTTGTTAAAAAGAGATTTACTGTACATAACTGTTTGCGTAGATGCACATGACGTCAATATTACCGCGGGGGAGCTAGGCCTACCTTGTATGGGATGCCCTCAGGGGATTCATCTTCTTCAAGTCTTTTTACTGTCGTTTCCTTCCCTTTTTTCTCGTCTTCCCAAAACGTTTCTGAAATCAAAGTGGCTTAGCAGCCGTGGAATTCCTTTAGAAGTCATTAAGGATTCTGTATCATTGTAAACTTGTTTCCCCTATCTATACAATTAAATGTATGAGTTAGTAATAAAGGATATGTATTGAAACGTTTAAAAAATGTATTGTTCAGATTCTGTTAGGTCTGGGTAAATTCGCTCATTAAATTGATACTAGGATACATTTATCAAATTAACGGTGCAATATAAAAAAGTTTATGTAATAATTTCCTAATTCATTCTGCATTCTTTTGGCCATTTCGGAGACACTCTTCATTTGACGTCGGTACAAAATGTTGTCACTGATCTTATTTTCTCATAATATCGTACGTTTTCCATCCTCCACATGCTACTTTGCAGAATGTATCAAACAATTTAATCATGAATTTTGTGGTACGTCACCATGCCTGGGTCAATAACATCTATGCTAGATGGTTCTTGTGTATATTTCGGGAAACGGCTGCGGTCTGTCATGACAAACCGTGGAAGTTATTGAATTAATAGTGCTGTACAGTACATATGTATAATTCTGTGTTTTTCTTTCCTTCAAAAGATTTTCATCTATTGGAAGAGCTAAGTGGCTACTCCTTATGGTATGCTTATTTTAAACTTACTGACATATGCCTTAAAGGTTAGGGGCTGTAAAAGGTCAAGATATTCAATCAAAAATTAACTACGGTATATCACTAGAAGATAAGTGTCAAACAGAAAGTTTATGTTGTAGGGATATAGTTAGAAAGCTTAGATATAGGTTTTCTGTGGCAAAAGTAGCTAAGTTTGACTGATTACATAAACAACAAAGAAAATTGGCTGGATTTTGATCTAAATACAGTACGGTAGGATACACACGTGCACCATCTAGCGAAGAAAACCGTAAACACACCGGATCTTCCTAACGTGATTTGTAATTTAAAACAAAAGAATTTTGTGGCAAGGTTTATGTTCTATATTCCAGAATCATAATAATTCATTGATTGATGTATTATGTTCCGCATCCATCATATGGCATGAACGTTTTTGAGTGTATGCATACATGAGTGACTTATTGATAATATATGTCTGTCTAAACTCTTTGTTAAAGGAAATTCTCACACTGCGATATCTTCCTTCCATCATTGTTTTTTGAAGGGAATTTGAATTTCAAAAACAAGTGCAGTACGACAGCAGGAAAGAATTTCACTGATGACATGCGTTTTCTTACATGAGCGTTCA